GGATTTTTCCATTTTTTAAAATAGCAATTTTGAGGTATCTTATGTATTTTTTAAAAAATATATAGGTAGAAAGAGGTTTCCCTTTAAAGAGAAAAATATATATATTTTCTCCCCTAGCTGTTTGCTGCCTTGATGAATTTCTGAAGCCAAAAGCTGGGTAGGGGTGGATTTAGGGGTGGGATTTTTGTTTTATTTCCATTCGCCCCAATGGAGGAAGAAGGCCCTCCTGGGGAACTGCCGCTTTGACCATGACATGAGCTGAGAGAAAGGAGAGTGGGGGGAGAAAAAGGATCCCAAGAGGTGAAGAGCCCAAGACGCTTCGGGAAAACACCATGGTAAGTTGGAAAATCTAGCCTTAGGTTGGCCTCCTAGGTGTTCGCAGGTGATAAGATGCAACGTGGGGGCACTAGTAATCGTTTAATAATAATCATGCTTTTGTGCTTTCAAAAGGCTTCATCTTAGTCAGCTAAGAAGAGCTTTGTAGAAAAAGCCATTGTTCTTTTATCTTTATGGGATTGATTTTAGGGGATAGGACTAAGGCTTGCCTAAGTCTTTCTTAGGAAGCCTTTAGGTCCTTAGCTGTTGCCCTACAGCAGCCTGTGGAGGGATGGATTGTGTACTAATAACATGGCCTTCCAAGTTATGATCTCAGAGCTCCCTTTGCAGCAGCAGAATGTACCTGCACTGAGTTCATTGTCAAAGGAATGATTCCAGAGACCCGTCTTTTGCTACCAAAGAACCTTGGATGCCAGTAAGCATTGCAGTTAAAGGCGCTCATCGACCCTGCAGATCTGCTGACATCGTAGGTAGAAAGAGAGAGAAGCAGCCTTTAAGAGAATACCTGTGCATGTACAATTGCAGGGCTGCAGATTCACTTGACCATTGGATAAATAAATTAAAAAAAATGTTTTAGTGTTTTCACAGAATACTAAGGCCATGACCCAGGGAGTAGTTCTGAATCGAGCACTAGCACAATTGGGATTTTCTTTGCCTTTGCTTCCCACTGTGGCCCTCCATGGCACAAAAACCTGCTCCATAAGTTTTCCTAGAATAGATTGTTGGAATGCACAGAAGGAACAGGAAATCACCAGTTCAGGAGGAAAAAGCAGGATCCAGTGGAAGCATGACAATGGCTTTAGTTCTCAGCAAATGTGGATGGAAGAGCTTGAATGGTTTGGCTGTTTACTGCAGCATTAAATCCCAAATTCAAGTTGATCAACAGTGTGACAATGGGGTCTACTTTTAAGGGACCATCCTACAAACAGCTTATTCCCACTGAACGCTTGGGTGACTGGATAGAGCTTGCTGAAAGTATTTAAACTGCCCTATTTGAGTAGATCTTAGGTACTTGGAAAAGAGTGTTAATTTAAATTTGCTTTTTGTGATTTCAGCTAGTGGCCCTACCTAGTGATAAGTTTTAGATGTCATCAACACAAAGTAATGGTCAATCTGCAAATCTGAGAACTGCTCAAATTACCAGCAAATGTAAAAGCAATGGTGGGGGCTTGCATTTTCTGTCAAACTAAAAATCCAGACTGTTGTGCATGTTCTTGAATTTATCACTGAACTGTGATCTCTCAGGAATAAATGTGTGGTGTCTCATATGAACATAATCACAAAATGTGCCCATCTCTTGCCATTGCAGGTAGCCAGTAGATGGTTTGGTTTGTGCCAGTTATTTTAGAATGAGTCTCTTTCTGAATCTCCTTTGTATATCTTGAGAGAGACGTGGACAAGGGGAAAAAATGGTTGTGCTTTACCTCTGACAATGACAGTATTTTGGACAGTAGTTTCAAGCCAAGAATGCTGACTCTTAAGATTAGGGATAACTAATAAGGAAAACAGTTCTCTTGGGCCATGGTGGGAGAAAGACAGTTGCTTCACATGCAACAGCCTAACATGCTTTTTCCATTAGAGAAGCAAGCAAATGTTATCTGTCAGATAAGACAATGATTTGCAATTCTGATTTAAAAGGAAGCCATCGTTTGCTTACTAGGGTGTAATCACAAACTACATCCTAACTCTAGATTTAAACAAAAAAATGACCAGGGCCACAGTACTGTAGATGATGACAGCAATGCAAATAATAGTACAGTATGGTCCAGAATGTGAATGGTTAATTCATTTAAATTTTTAAATTGTAAATTCAAAGTGAAAAGATAGTGGGAATGTGCGCTCCATGACATATTCCGTTTCCTTCCAACTCAGAAAATTAGAGATATTACACTGACTCTGATCCTTGGCTGTCCTTTTAGGAATGAGCTCTTAATATACTTAGGGCATCAGAAGACTTCCTATAGAGCTTTTCAGTTCTGAATTTTTGAGAAACTCCACAATGTTCAAGAAAACATCCTGGGCCCCCTTCCAAACTTTGAGAAAAATTTGCATTATCTCGCAGAATTCTTCATGGAGATTCCATGTCAGGCATAGGAAAAATCTTTGGAGAGTAGAAAGTCTGAAGTTCATGAACTTGTGCCAAGAAATGTCATGTTTTTCTGGAGGCGTAACAAAATACAGTCTTTTCCACAATCAGTTTATATTAGAGGTACAACATTTCATTAGCGTTTAATATTAGCAGAGAGCATAGCCTTGTTATATAGGGACTTTGCTCTACATCATATACCTTTTCAGATGACTTGGTCATGTGGGGATCCCCAGATTGTTGGGAGTGGTCTCCTAGTGACCCACAGTATAAATGGGTTCCACTCAATCTGCATTTCTTGGAGAGTGTATCTTTTAGGCCAGATGACGTCAGTTGTGAGATTTAGTACGTACTATGAAGTATGGTTTGAGCTGCCATTACAGTACTTTCACGTGGCCCTGACGGAAGTTCCCCTGGGAAGCACTTGTCATAGTTTGGTTTCTGTCAGAATAGGTACATTTCATCTGTGAAGTGGTTACAAAATATCCTCTCACGCAAGTTTATTGATCCGTAAGTTTGCATTGCTATAGTATGTATTTGTTTCAATGTATTTTTTAAAATTATTTATTGAAAGTCTTAATTCGTTTGTTTTTGTTTTTTTGGCTGCCAAGACTGCCAGAGCAATGTTCAGTTAAAACAGACTCTTTAAAAAATTGAAAACTGTTTAGAAATCATTTCCTTCCACATAGCTACACAGTCAACTGAGTCCAGATGCCACAGGCTGCTTGTGACATAAGAAATCAATGGGAACTATAACACTGCTCCCTAGAAAACATATTTTCTTTGGAGATAATTGTGATTTTGATCCCAGCAAGGCAATTAAAAAAAAACGTTTCAGGTAGCACTAACGGTGGCGTGGATGTGGTCCTGACAACTGCTGGAGAGGCTAGGCAGGAAATGATGCTGTTATGTGTCAGCCAAAGACTTATACTTTGGAGATTCTGAAGAAATGCTTCACATTCTTAAGATATGTCTTCAGATATTTAGGTGCCTCTAGGCCACTGATGGTGCCTTACTTAGACTACTGTGTTTAGCTGCTTTCTTGAAATCGTTCCATGAGCTTTCCTACACATACCACTCCCCCTCATTATTGTGTACACATATACATGTATGAAGACTTAATTGTTGCATTATCAGCATTATACTGATATCCCAAATTGTTCATTGCTACTAAATTTACTGTTCCTTTTGAGCAAATTGAGTCATACAGACTTGAATGACCATGTTTCTCCGAAAATAAGACAGGGTCTTATATTAATTTTTCCTCCAAAAAAAAAAAAGCATTAGGGCTTAATTTTTATTTTGGTCTTATATTAATTTTTCCTCCAAAAAAGCGCATTAGGGCTTAATTTTTATTTTACATTCATGTCATCATCTTCTGGTTGCTGCACAAAGGTGGAGGGCGGGGTTTCACTTCACTGGGGCTTATTTTTTCGGTAGGGCTTATATTACGAGCATCCTGAAAAATCATACTCGGGCTTATTTTCAGGAAAACAGAATACTGTATTGGTTATTTTCTGTAAGTGACGGGGCAGCAGGAACATTCTTTCTCATTGCCTTAATTCTGTAAGAGAGAAGGAGTGGCTTGAGAATTGATCTGATGAAGTTAGAACCCTCTTCTCTGGCCATAGGAGTTTGCTTTTCCAGACCGTGTATTGATGATCCACAAAAAGAGTTCATGAATGTTGGCTGGCTAACCCAAAGTTGGTGATAAATTGGACTCTGTTCTGGTCTCAACAGACAGAACCAGGTCACTAATCTCAACAGCGTGCAGCTGAAAAGCAGTGCACTCGGGACAGCCCCTTGCTGTTGTTCCTAGTTAGGCATCTTGGCATGGAACAGACAAGCTAGCTGAAAAGCATCCGCCACCTTCCTCTCGCCCCATGTGCTGCAGGCTTGTTGCCTTATTGATCTGCTTCTGGAAGGGCACTGCCAGGACTGAGCCTCTGGGGACAGAAAAGGGAGAGTCCTCTCCATCGCTTTGCTAAATAGCTGCATAGCACAAACTGCAGAGAGATTCTCCACTCCAAGCCACTCACCTCTCAGGTTGAGAAAGATCATGGAGCTTCTTCAACATCTGCATAGGGAACTGTACGACCTTGATGATAGCACAAGCAACATATTCCCAACATATTCTTCATATCTATGATTTATTGCTGGAGGTGCAGGTGATGTGGAAGGGGTTTACTGTCATCCCCCCCCCCAGTGTTTCACCATTGAAGCAGTTTTATAAATGTAGCCTCAGAAATAATGATTTGCCATGGCTCATATTCTGAATTTCATGTCAGAATAGAGTCTGAACCACTTGTCTGTTGTCTCGCTTCATCTTAATGCTGTAGATGGGTTAGCATTATTGTTATCCTGCTCTTGCAGATACAGGAAGAAAGGATGATGGCCTACCTAGGGGGCCGGTGGCTAAGGTCCTATTTGAACTGATGGTGTCTGGGTTTCTCTTTCATGCTTCAGTCTCTGTGCTTAAAGATTCAGTCAGTTTTATTTCAGCTTGGTGCTGAAATCTGTATTTCGGCATTGTGTCGTTTCTTGTCGGGAAAACGTAGGTGACACAAATTGCATGCAGGTGAGCGAGTGGGCTGCGGAAAGTGCTCTGTCCTTTCTCTGCTTCTTGAATGGAGACAAACCAGCCAAAGAAGGATTGCCTTAGAAATACAGAAAGCTTCTGGTGGACGGATGGAGCTCTCTGCTTCTCCTCTGCCAGCGTCCAGAAGGCTTCTAAACACTCTACCTTGCTAGGAATTTTTCAGGCTCTCTCTGTTTGCCTGCCTTTTTAAAACTTGTACTAACATTCTGTATGCCGCACCTTTCTAAGCAGATGTCAAATCAACTTAAGCAAATAGCAATCTGAAATTAAAACAGAATCCTAAAACAGTACGAAATGCTGCAAAATAATGGAAC